TGGGACTTAGTTTTTGACTTTGTTATGTATGATTGTTATGGCGCTTCTTTTTGGTGTGTCCGGTCTTCTTAGCATAAAACTTGATGGTGACCATTTTTTGGGTTTGTGTGGTGACCAGGTTTTTAGCAGGTTCATTGTAATTTTATTCCGATGGTATATATCTCAAATTCAGATGAAAAAAAAAAAGAAGTAAAAAATATCTAAATCAGATTTAATTGTAGTTTGTTTTAGGCGCCGCTACTTCCGTTTCACGTGTACATTTAATAATTATCGTAGGCAACATTTGACTTACTCCCTAACATTAAGATAACGAAAAAGCTAACATTAATGTGAGCTTATTTGAGCTGTGATTTCATCATAATCGATATATTCCCTCGTTGTAGTAGTCTTCACCGCACGTGTAAAGTTAACAAACACACGCATGTATGATGTATATAATCCAAACTTTGACGGTTTTGTAATGTTTGCTTCAATTCGAAATCATTCGCTAATCAGAAATTTGACTCTACCTAATATGGGCCATTTATACAAAATGGGCCGAATGTTTTAATAATATGATCCACTCATTTTGATTAATCTATTTTTTAGTTTCCCTCGTAAATTAACAATCATTAAAAAAAAAATTAGCGCCTAATCAATCGCAGAGCCTCTCACCAATTAAAAACTTTTCCCCATTTATTAATCTGAATTTCTCAAAATCCAAAAAACCATTCCCTTTTTACCGGTGCTTTTTCCGATTTCGGACAGAGCTCCGGCGTAAGGAAGAAATGGACGGATTCGTGTCGAATCAGAGAACACTCGCCGTTGATAGATGGATGGATATCGTAAACGGTAAAGGTTACGGCGTTAATGGATCAAATCAAATCCAATCCACCCGACCCGGTTCACTGGATTTAACACCYTCAATTCCGCCTCCGCCGGGGCAATCATCCACGACGGTTGCACCGTGGAGATTTATCGACCCGGAAACGAAGAGGAAGAAGAGAATCGCTACGTACAAAGCTTACGCTATGGAAGGGAAAGTTAAATCAACGGTTAAAAAAGGGTTTCGTTGGATCAAGAAGATGATACACGGATAAACAGTTTTTGTTTTCTCTTTTTGTTTTTATTTCCGGCGAATCGTGCTTTGGGCTGTCGCCGGCAATAATCTCCGGCGACTATTTTTTTTCTCAGATGTCAAAGGTAAAGAGAGTTTTTAGGGATTTTTTGATTCGAAGTTGATACGACGTCGTTGTAAAGAATATGAATTAGTCAACAACGATTCAAAGTCAAAAAACACGGTCCAGGTTTGTGGCCCGAAATTATTATGCTTTTTACATCTTACTTTAAGCCCAATGAATATTTATATCGATCTGGCCCATTAAGTGAATTACTACGAGTATGTTATAGAAAGTGTGGCCCATTTTGGAAACCGTGAATTTGTTTATTAACAAGAAAAGAAGCACCTTCTACGCACGATCGCACGTGAAGCCACGTTTTCTTTTTACTCACTTTACCTAAAATGCCCCTTACCGATTTACTATATTGCCACTATAATTTCATGAATTGTATTATTAATCATTCCAGATAAATATAGAAAGAAGTCCAGATAAAATTTATTATTGCTTTGAAGTTTGAACAATAAATTACTTTCAGCGTAATTCCTTAATGTATCAATGACAGAAAGCTAAATTCAAATATGTGAAATTTTGAAATCGTTTACTGATTCGATATAAATACAAGAACATGTATTTTTACTCATTTCATTTATGAAGAGCATAACTTCTATTTCGAAATTCAAATCAAATTTTCTTGAGCGTTGGAAAAAAGAAATCGAAGAAGTAAATGGAAAAGTGAATTATGGCTTAAATTTTTTGAATTGAATTATCATTTGGTCATTGGGTATAAATAAATGTTGTTTTGTAAAACAAGTTATCAAGGGCATTAAGGGAAATCAAGAAGCATCGTTTATGGGGTAAACTCGTAAAAATGGCATTGTAAATTCCAAAAACATCCCTAGGTTCTTCTTCTTTATTCTATTTGATTAGCCTGCAGAATCCTAAGCAACAACCATAGCATTACCTTACCTACATTTATCAAATTCATAAAAACTGATTAATTAATTACGTCTAATCTACTTCTAAATACTAATTTTATACAACTTTATATTCATGCAAACAACATGTCAGAATATTAAACAATTTTCAAGATATTCAAAAAGATCGAGTATACACTAATTTACATTTCTCTATAGGAAAAATATCACAAGAATATTTTTATATAATTAATTACTATAAAAAAAGGATTGAGAATCGCAATTTAATTTAATAAAAAAAAACGTCAATAAATAGCAAGAATAAAAAAGCAGCTTCATTACATAACATACACTGCATATCTGCCTCCTTCTTCCACCTCGCTCCTCGTGCTCTCTGTTTTCTGAAGAAAAAAAAAACATTTTCTTGAGAAACAAGCGACAGTCACAATCTCATCTCTCTCAATCACTTGTCTTCGGTACTAACAATGGTTCTTCTCGAGAGCTTTAGCCATGTCGAATCAGAAACCATCGATTTCTCAGACGACTTTGGCTCTGGCTCCGGTTGCTCAACGCCGTTCGTCAGTGCTCCGTCTAGTCCCGGTCGTGGTCCACCACCACCACCGCCTGGTTATTTCTTCAGTGCACCGTCGAGTCCGATGCATTTCTTCCTTTGTTCATCTGCTTCTTCATCATCGGAGAATCCAAAGTCTTCTTCTTCCTCCGGCGACTTTGAGTTTGATTTCTCTTCTCGTTTATCTTCAAGCAGTGGTCCTCTCGTATCAATGACTTCTGCGGAAGAGCTTTTCTTTAACGGTCAGATCAAACCAATGAAGCTTTCTTCTCATCTTCAAAAACCTCAGATCTTAGCTCCACTTCTAGATCTTGAAACAGAG